TATAATTAGTGCGTTTCGGTATTACGGAATTATTATCCGATAATTCTTTTTCTCCCTCGTCGATACTCTCTCTTTCTCTCTCTTGTTGCGTGCGTTGCGTTACAAGGCTTTGCAAGGCTTTGCTTCGATCACGTCGAAGCGTAGAATCACTTCTACATCGGTCTTCATCTAGTAATGATTCGCCTTTCGATTTACGGCGGAGAGAAGTCACGCCGCATGTACAATTACCTGCGAAACGTGGGGACCGGCCGTCCACACTGTCGCACCGGCCGTAGCATAACGCGGAAGTATGACGTCTCGTCCCACAGTCGGTTTACGACACGGCTGTGTTTCCGGAAATAAAACGCACCGGAATGGCACCTGCTTTCAAGAAATCGTCGCGTATGCCGGCGGATCCCTCCCGAATCCGTCGGAAATCACGACCGAGTTATTTCCACGACCGTAAAACGGCCGGCCCGGGAACGAGCGTTGCGCGAATTCCGGAGAAATTGTCTCGCCGACACCGAGAGAGAGAGAGAGAGAGAAAGAAAAGGAGGAGATACGTGAAACGCGCGTAATCGCGAATATAATATATCACATATCCGTGCGATGGATTATACAAACCGTGCGAAATTCGCATGCGAGTCACGACCCGTGAAATCAGTTTTTATGGATACCTTTGCTATATATTGCGCCTTGCACCGCTGCGCCTCCTCGCCGCCTCGCGACGGAGCTGTGCACGCTGTACTGAAAATTAAGTACACGTGCGAATCTCAAGTATTGTCTTCCGTTAAAGACGACCGTGAGACGGCGACGATTGAACATTCAAGACATGCCGTACTCGGTAAACAATTGCTCGTACGCGACAATATGAACGCGGCATGAAATGGTCACACTTCACACGTGTTACTTGATCATCGCGGGAGCGTATGTTCCTGTTCATATAAATACACATATACTGTCCGGCTCCACTAGATCTCGATGAGATACTAATAAGTATTATTACGCTGAAAGGAAAATAGTGACTATAATAAATGGTTTGAAAATTATTACTTATCGTGAAACACGCTCGCATTTATGTGCTATGATTTATTCATTCGTGACTTATCGATTCCAAATATCTTATACGGATAATACGGTAACTATGGAGGCCGAGGTTTTTTTTTTGCGAACATCTCTCAGTGTTGACGGCGAGTAATAGCTTTCTTATGAACACGTTTCATCGCGGGCTCGCTCGCTCGCGCTCGATATGCGCACGCTATGTTAATTTCACATTGCAATTATTCGCGATCCGCGAATCCCGATCAACATATAATTTACCGCACGGGATCCGGATATCCCGATCAACATATAATTTACCGCACGGGAGGTAAAGTACAGGCAGCGTCCAGCCGCTGCTCCATCGTTTGAAGTCCACGGACAAGCTATTCGGATAATTGGAACTCTCGATTTGCATCGAGGTCGCGCGTTAAACTGGACATCGACCTTAACCCACTTCTTACGTGAATTATATTAACTCAGTGATGTTATCCAATACCGCCCGCTGCTACCGGAGCGAAATAATTGCCGCGCTTCATTTCGCAATGACGCGACGTTCCGAAATAAATCACAATCGCCGCTTGTGCCGTGCATTACCGAGCTACGGGGATTTCGCTGACGAAAACTTTGCTTATTGCTTAATCCAGGGAAGGACAACAGCGGGGAGTAGACCGGCGGCTGATCGATGAGTCGGCCGTGAATCACCGCGGAACACCGAATTCCGTATCCATTCCGGCGCGTCCCATTAATTATTTAACATGCTTTTAACATTGCCAGCCTAACTGACTGACAATGAAACGGGTATTTTTTCTACCACGGTCGACCACATGTATCCCGCAGGCCAGTTCTCACGATCTTGTCGCGCAAACAACGCCGAGCGTATTTGCAATGCAAGAACCGACCATATCAGCGACCTTGAGGAGACTCGGACGATCATCGGAGAGTCCCCTTCGGCTCTTAGAGGATCGGCCGAATCGGTCACGTGTTCATCCCCTCGTCGTGCTCGTGTCGTGCTCGACGATTGGCGGCCGCTGTTTCGCCGTCGCGTTCACTCAGTTGGAGCTAAGTGCCATCGCCACGATGGATACATTGCATTATCGATAAACCCATCGCACGAGCGACACGCGTCGCATACATACGCGTGTGTGCACGTGCACTACGTACGCTCTCTCACAGGTCGTTCGCAGTGCATCGCCGCGGTGGTCGGCCAGTCGGATCACGAACACGCGCGATACTCGGGCGACGTTCTCTCTCGTCGCTCAGTCGTCACTCGAGTCGGCACACGTAGCATGGAGAAATGTCGGGGAACGCTGAAGAAGGTATGTCGGCGCTGGAAGAGACACGGCGATCGGGTCTGCCGTGTAACTTTTACCGGTAGTGCGTGCCGCCGGACGCGTGTGACGAACGCTTCGTGGCGTTTTGAAAGAGTACCGGACCGGTCCACGCCGTTCGCGCGTGATCTTCGACGTGATCTTCGACGATGACGGACGGCGTTTCCGGGCCCGGCATCGTGTTTGTGCGACTCTCTTGTGTCGAATTACCATGCGGATTTCGTGAGATCGTCGCTGAAAAAATCGAATTTCTCCGTCTACTGTGAAGTCCTTGTTGTCGACACTTCGCGCGAAAAACGCCGATGTTAGTTGAAGTATTAAAGATGTGGAATGGTGAAAAAAGTTATCAATCGGTATAAGAATGAAAAGAGACGTTGCTGCTCTTGCTAACTTGAAATTTGCCGGTCGTAAACATACAAAATCGTTCGACAGTGTGTATCACACGCGACAGACTTGCAACACGCACGCGCCGGACTTATTTTTCAGATTTACAACGCGCACGTGAGTCAATATAGCGTCAGTACCGTGCAGTACTGTACACCGTACTGTGTAGCCTGCTTCCACGTCGAATCCCGCGATTAATGTGTCCTATAATATTAATTTAATCTTCTTTAAATTTCCCTTGACCATGTAGAAGACTCTTTAGTAAGTATTGCGAAGAATACCGCCTCAGCCGTAGATCGGATCTCAGCATCCAATTCTTGTCAGTCTTTCATTTTTACTTGCTTATCATCAGACTTTGTACATATTTCTTTCCTTAGGAAAGTTATTTATCTTGTTATATTTCTCCTGTAGATCGACTGTAGGAAACCGGCTATTGTTCATTAATTTTATATATTTATCACTGATTCACGCTTGTATTCAATAACTACAGAAAAAAAAGACTAGTAAACATTAGGCAATTCACTTTTGTGCTATTTTTAGCAAGGTTTCGTACGAGCGTGGATTATTGTTTTTTTTTCGTAGTTTTGACGTAATTAGCGTCCGCGTGATAAATTTTCCGCGACGTGTTATTTAAGAGAACAGCATTCGCTAATGATATTTTTCATAATCTGATAACTCTCGCACGAGGAAACGTCGGAAGCGTTGCTATATAAATGTTACATATGCAAACGCATACAGATTTCCATATTAAGATCGACACGAACTTTATTCGCTGTCCAAGTGGACTGTATTATGAGTCTCCGCAGAATGGAAAGCGGTTGATGCTTTGGGTGAAACGTTCCTTTAAAATAGACGCATGCGCCTGACGCAACGCGGAACGCGGGAATTCGGCTCACGTTACCACTTACGAGCGTACGGTAATAGAAAGTGTTTCTTCGGTTATTGCGCTTTAACAGTGCGAAGGTAATACATGAGCTCCGGACTCTCAAGGATCTTGCGATGAAATATGTACGTTATATGTATGAAATATACAACGTCGTGTGTATATATGTATTATATATATGAAATATATAATGTTTGTGTATTTCCAATAGAACGGTCGGCGATCGGTATCGCTATTTAAATATGAGACACCGCCAGGACACGACAACGCGACACGACATCGCGCATTTTCGAGCCGCTCGTTGCAACAAAAAGCAACATTAAAGTCGGCGGTGTAAAATACGCCATTCATCTCGGCGGTCGCGAGGTATGCGCGAATATACGCGCTGCATCGTGACGAAGTGATTTAAAATGACCGTGAAAAACTTCTTCGTGTTTGTAATAAATTCAGCGAAGGACGACGCGCGAAATCCCCATTAATTATCCCTCACGAACAAAAGTCGCTTCAAGGTATTTCCCGGTTTTGCGCCCTACGACGGACGGGTATACACCCGCCTACGCAATATTCGTGCGATATTACCTGATACGTTTCGCATAATAAATTTGCAAACCACCCGTCTCCTGACGTACGGCAAGATACGAGATGGAAAAGTATGGCGTCGACTAAGAATAAAAATGCAACGTAACACCGCTGACGACACGAAAGAAATTATATGCATCATTCCGGGTGCGGTTTCGTCGGGTTTTGAAAGAAACATGGCTCATACGTGAACGTAAATTAATAATAATCGAACGAACATACATTGAAAGCGCCGAGGATTCAAAGTTCGTTGATGTTTCGTTAATGCTGCATGTTATGAGTTTAAACGATTCTGTGATTTACATGTAACAGTCCTGCGAAAGACTTGGACTTTGTACTTCGTTAGAAGTCAAACGTTAATAGTCAACTGATCACAGGGGAGAAAAGAAGGGTATATAATATGTAAAAGTAATAAAATAAAACCGGTTGTCTAGTAATTCAAGAAAATAGTACTGTCAGCCACTATTTATCCTGTGTCGGTACTTATGCAAAATAATTAGCATAAATCAATATTCAATTCCACTTCACAGATTTCCAACCGAATGCACTAAGTATATTTCCAAGACTATGTTTCAATCTTACTAACGCACTCATCTGCACGATGTTTGCCGGCGAGGTCCATAAAATTGAAACAAAGCTCTCCACGTATTTTTACGAAATCGTCAAATCTTAATAGCTCACCCGCCAAATCTTTCATTTTCGTCGATATTTTTCGTGAGATATAGGATAGCTTGTTGCCGTGAAAAAGAATAAAAGATCAAACTCGCAATCGAAGATACCTATATACCATTTGAATTTGTTCGTAGATCTTTCGACATGTCCGGAGGCCGAGCTGCTTTTGTCCAGTTGTACACGCGGAGACACGAGGGTATGTATGAAAAAAGCTCAACCTGGCGAACGAAGGGCCATGGATGAGCCGTATCACCAGGGTGACGTCTCCTCGCCGTCGTCATCGACGCCGACGTCGCAGAACAAGTCCACGGGATCAAGTTGTAACGCGCAGGTCGAGGAACCCTCGAGCAATCCGCCGGTCGTCGTGATAACGCCGCCATCGATTATCGTAAACGACGCCGTGGAAAATGACGATCCGCCGCCCTACAGCGCGATCGTACCGCCGAATCACATCGGCTGGCCGTACGGCCCTTTTACATTCGGCGACTCGTATTCCACGGACATGCCGTCCTACACGGTGGAAATGCCTTTGGCGCCTTTCCAAACCTCCCGAGCGCCCGCGGCCACGGGTTTCCATCCCGAAGAGACTAACCGCCAACACGCGTCGCTCCCGATGTCCTTAACGCCTTACCGGTTCTTCAAGTTCAGTTACCGCGGCGGCTTGAGGGAAACGTGGCTCCCGGGTAACAGGATCGGGGAGAAAATCGAAGACAGGACATCACGAAGTGAGTGTACCGACGGCTTGAAAATTGTGTTCTCCCCCCTTTTTGCTCCGTGTATCCTCCGATTTACTGGTCGTAAAATCTACTTAACGTCATTATCGTCGCGAGCAACGCAAACTACGACGTGTATTTTCGATCTTCGATCATGAGTTTCAATTCTAAAGTTTGTCCTTAACTCGAAAAAAAGAGAATAAATATCCTGTTTGTAGATAAAGTGTGCATCTCGCAAAGAAAAAAATCGTTATAAGACAGTTTTCTTTCTTATCGTTTTCCTTATATACCACACACACACGAAATAGTTGTATTTTGAATTTGATTCTTTTTGCCCCAGTGATAAGAAGTACTTGATAACTTACCTCGTTTTTACTTCTTACTTGACATCTTGACTTGACTTGAAGAGTAACGTATTAGCATTAATATGCTGATATAATATCACGATAAATGAACAGCTTCTAAGATAAATGATCTCAACAGAATATGGAGCTATTCTCATGGCAGTGGCGGTCGTCATCTCTCTCATGGCTCTGTCCTTGATAGTGCGTTTCATTATAGAAAGAAGTTGGTGGCGAGGATGAAAGGTCATCATTGGAATTCGTCGACCTGATAAGACTTATAAAAATTTATTGATTAAAAATGTATCGATACCAATTAATTTATTTGATTAATTATCGAATTTATGATTAGACCTTAGTGTAATATTTGTTTTGTCACAAAATTGTTTTGAACACATTTCACGAACGTTTATCTCACACATTTATAGTTAAAACAAGAAGAAGAAAAAGATTTATATTGCGTTTAAGTAGATCAACATTTCCATTATTTCAATGTTCGAAAGCACAATCGCGCATTTATTCACTCTTCGACGACCGAAAGAAAAATCTTTAATGCGTATTAACGATCATATCCATTTGAATAATAATCATGTTTCGCGAAGACGCGCGAATATCAGTTCGTTATAATATTTATGCATCGCGTATATGCAATTGTTTATAGATATTTTTAGATTGGATTCAAAGAGGGCAAGTAGCAGAGGTTATCGTATTTGATTCAGACGTTATGTGGACATGAAACTGTTTATTATTATATTTCTCATTACGCACGATAACGCAGCCATCTAGAAAATAAGATATTTATAAGTACAGTATGTAATGATTATATAAGTTAAGGAATACATTATTCTTTCGGATATAATACTTATACTTAAGATAGCGATCACTGATATAATGATAAAATGATAGTAAAAGTATATAAAAGTTCTGACACAGACACTGTACGCAATGGGAATATTTTTGTGTCAAAGCGAACCAGAGATACGATATATTACTATATAAGTATTTTTACACGTCTACTGTAACTCGTCGTGTCATGATATCAAATAAACCATTAAATCAAGTTTCAATGGCTGCGGCGATGCTTAATTTTGTTGTTCGGGTTGATACGCATTAATTAAGTGATATGGGCCCCCTATCGCCACTCGCCGGAATGCTATTATAATACTAATTACATTTAACAGTTTTGTCGCACCATTGTCATGCCGATAACGTCAGCTTCGAGGTCGTATTCAAAATAGCGTCTGTGCCCCTCAGGCCAATTTTCAAGCAATGCGCCGCGGGGGAAATTAAGTGATGTAAAATAATTCACTAAATGATACACTCGCTATTTTTCTATTTACGCGGGCGCTTACGGGCCATGAGGTACATGTATCATTCGCGTATTAAATAACAATTAATGCGTAAGTTTGTTTTCAGAATTGATTTTTTTACGCCTGTAATAAAGGGAGCGTGACAATCCAAGTACATCGATATCAAGTGCAATTACCTAAAGGCAGGAGATCTTATTATTAAGTAAAAGAAAAGTATAAAAAGTAGGAAACATAATAGTAAAAAACGTGTATAATATAACTTCGCTAATTGAATCTAGTTATTTTTTCTACAATTATCTATGAAAATAAACCTCTAATTAATCGAACCTGGCCACGTGTTGTATGGGAGCTCATAATTATTTGTAAAGCCTGTTACCTATTTAGAAACTTTGACGCTTATTGGCCCGATGGGACGCGGATGACGAAGCAGTGGAAGACAGGGTCGAAGGGGTAGACATCGTGGTGGAAGAGAAAGTAACCGAGTAGTAAAGTTAAGAAAGGGAAGGGTAAATGGAGGCGCTTATAGTGTACTGATTAAAAATACAGACTTGTGTCTCTCGAGAATAGGTGATCAGAAAAGTCGGGATATCCCGGGAGACACACGCACACGCGTGCACGCGAAAGTTTTTAACTGAAGGTAAATTCTCAAGCGCGAAGGCGAATAAAAACCAAGCACCAAGGTGATAAGTAGACTTTTAGCGCCGTTAAAATTTCGAACAATAGGTGCTCAGAGACGGCTAAATATAGCCGGATGTATTTTTAACGCGTTTTCTTTTGCGTTTGTAAACTGAAGGATACGGCCGTGTTTACTAAAATTGCCCGTGCACGGGTTTCGTCGAAACTTTCATTAATTTGAGCATTTGCAATTCAAATCGCGGTTCTTCTGGCCAACACTTAAATATGCAAACGGCGCGGCGCGTATTATTTTCGTGGTACGTTAAGACGCGAAATTGCACGCGCATACAATTTTTGCCGAGGCTTTGAAGTGCGGGTTTCCTTGTTGAGAATGCATGATAATAAAAGGGCCTCATAAAACAAAAGGGCGAGGTCGATTTCCCTCGGCCAGTGGTTTGCGCAAGAGCCGAAGAGGATCAAAGATGATAGAAGCTTAATGCAGGAGGAGAAGCCTCAAGGACGAAAAGGAACGCGGGTTATAAAGCCAGACAAGTTAGCGGCCAGAGCAGCGAGGAAAACGAAGGGTCGGAGGGCTGATGAAAAATACAAAAATTCTCTCCCTTGAAAGGGTAAAGAAGGAGGGGGGGGGGGGATTGGAGGAGGGTTCGTGCTAGGAAAACGACGCCGGGACACTCGAGGCCCGCGAACGAGGGTAAGGTGTTTGTCAACGGTTGCTGGTAGTTAATTACTTTACATGAAAGGAACTTCCAGCCGTTTCGCCACTCGAGGCAACCTCGGTCCCCGCGTGCCATCAACCTCTCTCTCTCTCTCTCTCTCTCTCTCCTTTTCTCTCACACCCCGTGCCCCATTTCTCCTTCACGGATCTGAGAGTGCCACCCCCGCGCGTCGCGCCCCGCATCCTCCTGTCATCTATAAGAGTTTACGAGTATCTAATTCGGTAGACGGGCTGTACTTACTCTGCAAACGAGTGGCTCCCCACGCCACCCTCGCGGCGACCTCGATAAAAGGGGTGGCTGCACGCGAAAATCTTCGTTCGGAAATGTAGCGCGTCACACTTCGTTTGATCTCGATTGGTAGCGAAGTAATCAAAGTAGCGGCTCGACGCGTCGGGACTTTTAATTTGATGGCATCGAGCTTCCTCGATGGTGGGAATATGTACGCGAGTACTGCTCGTTAGGCCCGTTTTGATTAAATCCTCCCGAGGTACCATCGCGATACGCAGCTCGCCTAGCAATTATTACCCCAACATGCGTCGAATTTTACATTGAAATTTTCAACGTTCGACTAAAGATTTCGGAATATCGAAGGCGTAGACTCTCGTGTCGTGATTTACGTTTAAGTGACGAATTTTTCGGTCGATCCGGAGACGAATTTCTCACGTGGGGAAACGAGAGGACGAAGGAGGGAGAAGTAAAAGTACCGGAAAGGAGCCGAGAGAGGATCTTCGTGTGAGCATTACCGTGATTGCACGCACGGGGAGCGGCAGCTCGCTTCATAAACTATTACTGCAGTTTCTCCGGCATGAGCCGCGTGTGTCGCGTATCGTCTCTTAAGTTTTCACCTCCTTGGATTTATACGTGCTCCGCTGGATCATGAACGCGGCGCACGGACAGAGGTACGCGCGTACAGATGTATTTACGTGCACCGATAAATGCTCGCGTCCCGTCTAGCTAAATTATCCCTCTCCGGGTCTTATTCCCTACGCCTCGTTTCCCGGATTGAATCTTCATTTGTAAGGAGACGAGGAGTAACTGCGCACGCGGTGCTCCTCGCGAAAGCGCTTTTCGCGCGATTTTGCACGGAGCCCATCCTCTTCTGCGTTTTACGCGCGAAAATTGTGTAGATTTTAGGACTGCCAGTTTTTGTCGGGATTGAAATTGACAATTTCAGTCTCTTTTCTGAACGAGAATTCGATGTTAGAACGTTTGCAGTCATTTAATGCGCTTGATGAAAATGTTGAACTTGGAAAATAATTAGTAGAGGAGCTAAAGAGGTAAATTGGCTAATTGATTATTTTTGCTATTTTCGAACAGATTGCGGAATTGAGCAAGCAGATACATCAAATGTGTCAAAGATGGCTATGAAATCCTTATTTGCTCGATTCTGTAACTCGTTATAGAAAACAACAGAAATAATCAATTTGCCAACTTACTCTTTTAACCAACTAGCCCCAGTCTCCCCTACGTCGTATAACATTGAAACAATATCGAGAGAACATTTCGTAAAAATAATTCATAAAAAGAGATTCTTTTGAATTTTAACATTATGCATAATCTTGGGCAATCACACTGTAAACCCAAGTATGTTATTTTTACATAAACGTCTCAAAGTGACACATTTGACTGAAGCTATTTTTACATGTTTTTTGCCGATTTAAGTCATTCAAAATGTCTCATCGTGCTGAATTATCACGTTAAATTACAACGGGTTGGCACGTCCAATCGTGTTGAATAATGTGATTTAAAACGGCAAGACACGTGTAAGGAACGTGTGAGAACAGCTTTTCAGCTAATGCGATTTGCGGTGCATTTGTTTAACAATTGGACAAGAGACAGAGAGATGTGCATATTTCACGCGTATTGCGGCACATCCTGCGATCCTCGCAGACTTCATAAAATCACCATCGGTATTCACGTCGTGTCACATTGCCTCCGGATATCTCTGCGCCGTACAGAACACTTTTGCATCACGCGCGCGGCAACCGGACCATCACGATTCCGCGGTTCACGTGGAAATTCTTCACGCGACGGCTGTATTCGGCAGATCCGTGGTGAATGTATATACCGGCGCACAATGCGCGTATACATTTCGACTAAAGCGTTCTCTCGTGGTTTCTTACTCGCTCCCTCGCAACAATAACAACAACAACAACGCAACAACAGAAATAGTGGGCGCAGCGTGAGAGCGCGATACATCATTCATATACAGCCGAATCTCATATCGGTTTCTGATCCTCCGGCTATGATGGCTTTTGAAGGGCCACTTCCCTCCCGCGTCCTCACCCCCCTGTGCCCCCTCCTCAGCCGGGACCGCTCTGTTTATTGTTACGTCGCATTTATGCATGAACCCTCGCGATTCCATTGTCACGAACACATGACGAACTACGCTCGCGGGCGGGAGGGAGGTCGCCGGCACCGGCGAGGGGTGAGAGGGGGAAGGACGACGCGGTAGGGAACGCTTCGTGCTTTCTGGGCGGAAGTCGGTGGCGGCGTAAATGGCGGAGGTGGGGTTATTGGGCCAAAGCGGAAATCGATGGCACGGCTGTGCTGCGCGCTGCCTTGCCGCGAGCGCGCGCGCCTTCCCGCCAACTCTCGAAAGCCAGATTACCGTTTTTCTCGTGTTTTTAATTATACGCCCGTTGCCCAAACGTTTCATCGGGGCGTTTAACTCGCTCGTTCTTACTCGTTACTCGCGCTTTTAGTAGTATGAAACTTGAACCGGTGTTTCCGTACACCGCCGAGCGTTTTGTTCGGCTTTTACGGATATTTTGCGATACAGTGTTTCACCATGTCGCTCTCTTTCTCTCATCTCTAATAATATTTTCTTAATAGATTAATAAAAATAACTAGAGTTTCGCGAAAGAATTGGATCATTTCTCGCGCAATAACGGCCGCATTCAATAATGACAAATAATACTTGCGTTTACGGCATTCTGGCATATCGTTTTGTCACTCACGTCGTGTAAAAACGTATGAGATCAGCAGGACGCTGAAAAATTATCGCGCAATACTTCGACGCTGCATTTCGAAATCTCACTCGAGCGGAAAATTCCAAAGCTGTTACTCACGAGTTATGAGGTATCAGAAACGACTTGTGACACCGCATAAATTTTGCATACGCGCAACGCCATACGCAAGCGTGCAATCGATCGTTTGTTATTTATTTTTGCGGTTGAGCCCGCATCTTACTACGACCCGGCTGATTTCGCCTTTCGCTCGTGTGTGTACAGGACATCCCCGAAGCCAGATCCCGATCAGCCATATCTGACCCTTCACCTCGGCCTCGGAGGTGATAATCACAACGTAGCGAGTGATTTATATTCCGAGCACGGCGATCCCTATTCTCTCTCTCTCCCTCTCTCTCTCTCTTATCTTATACAACGGCATTCTAATTTGCACATTTGCTCGCAACCACACGAAAGCAGTCTTCTCGCGTTGATTAGCCCATAAGGCCGCAATCTCCCGTAGGGGGCGGATCAGAGAAGGGTGCGAGGTCGGAAACGCGAGTTAGATCGGCGGTGCTCTCGCGGGGCGGGCCGCACGGGGGAAGGGGATGGAGGAAACTCTTCGACGAGGTCGTTTCCGGCCGAGTCTGATGCGCGTCTTGACTCGAGAATCCCGACGTTATCGCGACAATTGAATGGGTCGAGCCTTCCTTGCTTTGGCGCTTTCGCGCTGCGCGGCCACGATAAGCCTCAGAAACAGCCCTTAATGGTTCCCCTCGCGATTCCCGGTACCTATATCCTCGATTCAACTCTCGTCCACCCTCCCCTCCCGCTCGTCCTCGCCCGTTTCGTCGTCGACGTTACCACTTTTGCAGAAACAGCCATCCACCATAGACCGGCGGAACGCCATCGACGGTCCTGCCCGCGATGCGATCGTGCGGCG